AAATTACAAAACATTATTCATTTTAGTGACTATGGTGTATACAATAGAATTTTTCTTCATCAGTTCAAGCTGGCATTTAAATCTCGGTATTTAAATAAAAAACGGATTTGTAATATTAATGTAGAACAATATGGGATAACAACTAACGATGATTTAGGGCACGTTAGGATTTTATTTAAATTCGATACGATCGTCTAAATAATACATAACGCTAGTGAGTAATGTATCTATACATAAAAATACTCGAGTGTTCTATGCGTTTAAAAATCGCCCTCGTGTTTTACACCTTTGAACTCAATAATATATGTTCTAATCACCGTCACTAATCGTCCGAACGGCACCTGGGTCTGATGCATACCAGTACCAGAAATACGTGATTTTTGACAGATAACCAATGAAATCCTCCTGTATTTTCGTATATATATTATATTATATACACTATAATTTTCGTCTGTATATACCGCGGTCGGGGTGGCTCGAGTAAACTACAGACAAATTCGTGTGTGCCACTATGATGTTTGGGTATAAATAATAATAATCATAATAATGAAAAAAAAAGCAGAAAAAAAACGTCTAAAACTTTGTATTTCGATCCGGTTAGTCGTTCACGATTTATTATTTTTTACTCCTCGCATAAGATAATGCGTGCTGTGATCCACCGTAAAATTACCAGTGTCGACCCCACTAATCATGGACACATCACACAAACACACAAACACACACACACACATATATAGACACATCACTGAGTTTCGAATACTACTAGAAATATGTGTAATATTATGTTATTATATAAGTGATTCATCGGAACTCGTGGTGAGTGCGCATTTGTCTATTGTTTTTTATGCTCGGACTCTATCGACACGGCATCCAACAGTGAATGTTTTTTTTTTTTTTTTTTTTTATTGTCTGCCTCGCTTTAAAATTGTTATTAAGAAATATTGTAATTAAAAAATTAAAATAAATACATTGCTTGAAGTTATTGACAGGAAATGTTTTCTAATAATTAAACCACATGGTTAAAATAATATTATAACTAGTTAGTTCTCTGCTGTGCGAACAAATAAGCTTTTTTACTCACATAAATCAATAGAAAATGCACGTGTACGTACATAAAATGATAACGTATGAAAATATATGCATAATATAGTATATTATTATACTTGTTTAGTTGTTTATGTTATAAAAAAAAGAAATCAGGACTAAACAAAGTACCTGCAGTAAAATAAAACATTATTTAATTTTAAAATAATGAAATAAGTAATGTTTTATTTTATTGCTATTTTTCCAAGGATTATATTTTATGTATGTATAGTAGAGACTTAAACTTACATCGATATAGTTATCTATAGATTTTATACTTTATATAATGTATTTATTTTTCTATATATTTAAAGAAATAATCAAAATCAACAACAATTTTACTTAGCGTCCCGTGATTTTCATTTTTAAATAAAATAATACTTCATCGGGGATTGATATGATACAGCACTATAATTTTTTATATAACGTCACTTTAAGTATCGACATTCTGATTCAAGAATAGAAAGATTCTTATATCGATTATGTGACAAAATAATTTTTATTTTTGAAATAATAAACTAAAAATACAGTTCGATTTTAGTGTACTTTTAAACAAGCATAACATTGCAAACTTGTACGATAAAAGTACATAATATTCTATAGTCATAAAAATTTACGACAGTCTCATAAAATATAATATCTTAATATCTGTAAGCCTGTGATGGTCGTGTAACCTCTGAGCAACTAGATAGTTTTCAATAAAAGTGTCAATAGATTCCTTAAGACTCGTAGAGTGTTAATAGTTCATTATTTTAACTCCTACAAGTTACTGTAAAGTAGTTCACACATAAATTTAGTTTTGCCTCTTGAAAAACTAATATTTTTTTGCTTATTTAAATGATTTTTATTGGTTATAGATTTTATTACTATTATGATTAGTTTCAATAAGGTATTATTCATAAAATATTTACAAGTATATTATATGTACGAGTATTTAAAAAAAAAATCTTAAAATCAAATATTTATGAAAATAATTACTTACAATAATTATCACTCTTATAATTAGTAACCAATAACCATGAATTGCTTTTTTAATGTAAATACTTCAAAACGAATTCCGATCTTATTAACTATATTGGATTTAATTTTCCTTTTAAAAAATTGATAAATATGCCTTTAGTTTTTGGAATTAACATCAAAAATACGCCCAAAAATTAAGGAGTAGAAATTCATAAATTTATTCATCGTAATCGTAGTGTTTGTATTATATATTTCAACTTAAATAAAAAATAAAGCTATTGAGAGATATAGATTATTTTTAATCCGATCGAAATTGGGTTATACAGCTAGTATATAATATATATATATACATAATTGATCTTAAGGTTTAGATACTTTTCTATAATATGTGAAATTAGAGGTACAAATTATCATTATATACCTTAATATAAATAAATAAATACTCGAAGTGTGTATTAATGAACGTGTGAAATTCTCCATCATGATAGTTTAACGGAAGAGAAATAATGATGTACCTAATAATATGTATAATAAATGCATTATACAAACATAATTTTCTTTATTGCATACCTGAATGTACTTATTATTGTAATTGTAATAGAATTGGACGTGTTAAATAAATTAACTCATTTTAATAAGCAATATGCAACATATTAAAAAAATGTCAGAATCGTTTTCGAAGTAACTGTATAACGACTTGTAGAGTATGAAGCTGTGTAACTGACTAAATATTATAATAAATAATAATATATTTCTATACTATTACAGAGATTTAAGCGTATGTTGGTCTACTGGCAATTATTTTCGTTTAGCTAAATTTCGAACGATACCTAGCGTCAATTATCTTTTAAAGTATGTGTTAATAAACATACCATATCGAATTTAAATACGTAATAATTCCACAAGCGATGGAATGCAGAATAATGCATATTTATTGAAGATCGGTTCTGGATGAAAATCCAGTCTTTATAGACGATGCGCGACGGTGGTGGTACGATGCCGATCGATCAAACGTCGAAAAACGTTTATTGTAGACGAGCGATATAAAAGTTCGATGTACGTAATGATACACCTAGAACAGTACCTTATAGCAATACGCAAAGGAAATTATTCAAAATTTAATATTATGTTGCTGACCGTACGTATTGTGATCGAATAATATATATAAAATAATCATACATGTTTGATAAGTGTGCGTATACGACAAACCGCGGTCTCTACAGTCCGTCATTATAATAAGTAATTACATATATTTGTTGTTTATTACGAATGGTATGGACGGACGTCCTATACACAAATCCAGAAGCGGTTGCTCGCAAATGTCTGCGGGCTACCGTATACGATAATAATTTTGTACCTACGTATTACGCCGCGTTGTGTACAGTCCATGTACTCGTATCGAACGCGACAGTAATAATCACATCCTCATCGCCCACACTTATACCGGTGCACTGTGTGCAGTAAATAGTAATCAGCTCGGTCATCCCGGAGCGAAAACAACATCACTAACACTAGTAATAGTAATAATAACCAAAAAAGAATAAGTCCCACGTGGCTAAATAAATGTAGACGTGCTCCATACGCTGAAAAAATATATTATTTTCATATCTCTGCGCATGTTCCACAGGCTTTTGATGGAAAACAAGAATTTATTTAGCCATGAAGTCTCACACGTTTTTTGTCAAACATAATAATGTCACGTAATATAATATACGATGGTCGTGTCAACCGGGCTGTATTGCATGCACCCGAGGTTACGCACACAGACACGTGCGTGTGACGTGTAAGCACGAGTGTGTGTGTAATGATTATATTTTTTTATTTATTATTTTCAATAGTGTGTGACAGGCGAGTGATACTATAGTGGTGATAGGACATCGTAGGGACGGCGCGTGGAAAAATCCGACCGAGTGAGCTCTCGACGACCTCCGTGGTTATAATAGGTATAATATAGTTTATTTCGACTGTAGCATGCGCATGAAAACCCAAAATGGAAATAATGAAAATCGATTTAAGACACGTCGTTGTCGCATTATTTTATTTATATTGTCGCGAGGTGCGCAAATCGGTCGATGAAAAAAAACCAAATTGCTGTGACGGATTATACGAACGATGTGTTTATATTGTATGCCTACTGCACACGTGATCTTTGCACGCTTGGTCTGTTTGTTCCAAGCCCTGAGACGCATAATAGAGGTCAATCGATGACCGGACCAGGCCGAGGTGCTGTCACGTGTGAATCCTTGTTACAATATTGTCACATTCGACTGGCACAAACGTCAATCGAAGTGTCATTACAGTCCGATGGATTCGTCTCGGTAGTAATGTACAAGTGTCGCCGGACGCGTGCGCTCCACGTGCTGTCCGGGAAAGTTGTGATGGAATTTCCAATAATCGACCAGACAAAGATGGTATTATAATTTGTATGGGTAATAACGATGATACCGAGCTGTTGTTAATAGATTAATAGTAGCAAACACTGATTTTCTATAAAAAATCAATATATTTGTGGTACATTAATCGTTAGATTAATATATAATATACATATTATATTTAGATGAATTACATAAGTACTTACAACAATAAATTATGTTTTCTGTAGGTTAGGTTACCTAACCTAACCTAGTTCTGAAGCTGACAATACTGTGATCAAAATTTTTAAAATTATGTTGATAGAAAACTAACGTTTAGTATGTATAGCGTCTATCAAAGATTTCTGAGTAAGTACTGTAAATGCATATACATATAAATAAAAATATATATATATATGTATTACTTTTTATTATTATCTTCTATACCGATAATAATGTTTTATGCTCTCTTTGAATAATATACGTATTAACTCTATACTTCTAAAAACCATAAAATTAAACGTAAATAGATGTTTTTTCCATGTACTTATTTTTATTAAAAAAAACATTTATAGTATTATATATTTAGTACCTATTTCAATATTATTATTTCGTAGAATGTAATTTGTGTTTTTCATACTGGTCCGTAAATATATCTAGCGCTTCATTAGTGGCAGGAGTATATGATTGACCAAATTGAAGGAATAAATTTGGTACATGTCCTGCATAACCAGCCATAAATTTTTTGTGAGGATTTCCGTTTTCCAAAAAATAAGGTGAATCGCTAGGTGGAATTGGCAAGGTTGGTTCGTATTGTTCTTTGAATAATTTTACTCCTTCAAAGTTCTATAAAATGTTTTAATAATATTTTATTCAATATTATAAACAATATGAATAATCGTTTCAATTTGGTATTTTATACAAAAAAAAAAAAAAAAATATTAAATTAATATATTAATGAAATATATATGTAGGTACATAATCTATAGAATAAATGTAAAAATCAATGATTAAAAAAACTAAGCAATTCAACAGTCGAATAAAAACATTTAAAGAACATTTACTAAATATTGTTTATTCTAAAATTAAGTAGAAACCTTTTAATAATATAACAACACAAAAAAAGTTGTTTTGGATATCATAAGTTTTTACTGAAAATTTGTTGAAACTCTTGAGTTTAATTAGTTAATTTACTATAATATTACAATAATAATATAGTATTACATTTAAAAATAATAATAAAAAAACATTTAAACGTTTCCGTGTATTAAAATTTTATTACTGCAGTTTTTACTTTACCTTTTTAAACGGATGTGTATAATTATTGGTATCTTTAATATTCTTATCAAATTTCTTAGAATATTCTTGTGTCTGTTCACATTGTGGACACACACATGAATTTTGTATTTTCACAAAATTGTTGATTCCCAGAGTTGCATCCACAGTAAATCTTATTTAACAATAGACATATTAAAAATATAATTCTATAATTTTTATTAAAAATATAATAATAACCATTAGGATGCCTTTTTTAATGAATATTGCTAATATTGGGAAACAATAATTTATATTATTTGAAAATATTTATGTATACTTTTTTCCACATAAGAAATCATATTGAGGTACATATCCAGCATAACCTGGTATTATATCAGTAGTATATTTGCAACTTCTAGTTTCGCATCGCTTATTTATGGATTCCTTTTCTTCAAGAGTACAAAACGTATCATCATGGACGTTACTAAGATCACTCAGTACTGGTATATTAGATCGGCTAATTTTTTTGTCAAAAAATAAATCGTGAGTTAATTTTCCATAACTTTGACCATAGTGAAATTTGTAACCTGGAACATATCCAGCGTATCCAGACAAATAATGTGGTTGAGGTGGTAAAATCTTTTTGATAGAACCCATGATAAACTGTAATTCGATTAAGTTAAATAGTTTTAAGTATAACTAAAGACTAAATTTATGAATTAATCAAAATTTAATAACTATATTATAAAACCATGACAACTTTAATCAATAGATGTGAACAATTAAGCATAAATAATTTTTTTAATTTTCTACAATAATCTAGACCTAAGACCTAGGCCATTTTAACGCAAAAAAATATGTCATTTAAATTATGTCCTCCGTAATTTTAATGAGTATAAATTTAAATAATTTTTAATCATACAATTTTTATTAAATGATTTGGTCTAAAATTATAAAATATATTGTATTGTTAGAATTAGTTTTTCTAAGTTATGTTTTAAAATATACGGATAATCATTAAAATAGATACTGAAAATATTAAACTAACTCAATTTCGACTTAAATAATTATATTTACATTATATTGATTTAACTCTGAAAAGTTATAACTTATATTAGGTATACACTTTTATTGAATTGTAGCCAAATTACTCGTATGACTTGATATTTGACCAAATTATAATAAAATTGATTCACTTTTCTATCGTGCAAAAAATTAATAATATAGTATCTACATTGATTCATAGTTTGTTTAACAATAGCGGTAATATGAGCGCTTTTGAGTTAGAATTATTACCTAATGCTGTTTTTGCTATGGGATGGCAGAGTTGAATAGTATGGCCAACACCGTGAATAACGAAGGTGTGATTATGACTGTTGCATTCGATAACAGTCGACTGTATACGGACTACGTGGTATACAAATTAACCTTATCTACGTATCTAGGTATGAATTTATAAAATAAAGTACACGCTAGTCAGCAGAAATTTGTTGCTTTTATATTTGTGTTCGTAGTAATTTTATTATAGTATATAATATAACACATTTATCACACTCCGAAAAGAAAAGATGAAACATTTATTGAAAAAAAATGGTCTGAAAACTTTTTAGGAAAACAAAATTAAAGAACACTATAATACTTATATTGAAATATTATGAGCTTTTTTTAATTTTAGATAAGTAATTTATATTATATTCTATATCATAATACATAATATATCTTTCAATCAGATCTTATCGAATATGTAGTTTTAGTAAGAAAGGCAAGACGGAAAGGATTCAGAAAGTTATTTCACTTATATATTGTCATACGTATTCAATAATAGACTTAAATAGGCATTTTTTTAATTGTGTTAACTCTCTCTTTGGAGTGTGATACATAATTACTTACAATAATTCGTATGTAAGGAGACGTTTGCTTATCAGTCGGGGGTGACTGCGTACGTTGGTCTCAGTCCGAGGTTATGCGTACACGTAGACACGCACGGGACATAGGTGTATGTGTGATTTTAAATAGTGTGTGACGGTCGATGGACGAGTGGTATAGGTATAAGAGATCGTTAGAGAAAATCATTGGAATTGCACGTGGAAAAATTCGGCTCGATGAGCACGCGACGGCTTGTAGGGAGACGGTGGTCTTGTTCATTTCGAGTGCAGCGTGCGCGTGAAAATTGGAATGAAAATAATAAAAATCGATTTAAAATGCGTTTTCGTCATCGTAACATATTATTGTATTGTCAAAAGGTGCACACAAACCGAATGCTGAAAAAAAAACAAATTGTGGTGACGCGACATCGTATTATGTATAGCTGGCAATTAGTCGCCTACTCGCCGCGTGATCTCCGCACGCATGATCCATTTGTTCCGGGCTCCGAGACGCACAAAGGTTAATCGATGACCGGACCGGGTCGAGGTGCTCTTTCACGTGTGAATCCGTGTCATATTCGACCGACACACGCGTCAATCGATGCATTATTATATTATCGTCCGGCGGATTCGTCTCGGTATCCATAGTAATATAATGCAATTACTTCGCCGCCACCGTCCGCAGGAAAATTGTGACGGAATTTTCAATAATCGCGTATACCAGACGTGGGTACCTGCGATACTGTAACAACGGTATACATACGGTATGGCTTAAAATTCGTACGGACAATAATAGACTAATTAGTAAAAACTAAGATGATGTTATTATAACAACGACGGGAATTGCTATTTGCTGCAGTTTTTACAATTGTTGGATAATAAAAACTTGTTTGTATGACGGGCGACGAAGATGACGAAGACGGCGGAATGTGGACGCCGTAAAAATTGAAAATATAATAACATAATATATTTTGTATTATTGTTGTACCTACACAACAAGCGGCTAGAAGTCACGACGGGTGGTTGACGGCGGGTCAGCTCGAGGGGACTTGATTAATATAATATATTATTATTTTCGATCGCGACAATATCGAATCGGGCGCCCGTCGCAACCCGCAGTGAGTACAATGCACATATACACACACTATAACGCACCCTGTTTGTTTTGTGTTTGCATGTGAATGTGTGCATGTGCTTGCGATAAACATCTAAAATACTCGAGAGGGACGAATGACGTCGTCGATGAGGGCGTTCTAGATTTAATCGGGTCGAAGGTGAAAATAAATTTAACACCAGTCAAAACGACGTTTACGTTATGGAATCATCTCTGGTGTGTATGCAGGAAGGGTAAAGGCGTCTATCAATCAATCGAATTCTTATAATGTACCCCTGTAGGTATAAGACACATTTTTCGATTAAACTTGTATAATTGTTCACAATACAATTTTCAAAAAAATATTTCCATTATATACGATAATATAACTATAATTGAAACGTATAGTTTACTCAAACATTTTGTTCAGAGCCAAGAACTTTATTCCAGTTTCTGTAAGAATTCTGACTGGTTTTCAGAATGTATATAGATAGACACATATTTTAATACGTACGTTGTACGTACTTATATAAAACATTGAAATATATTTGAAAATGCCTTTTTTATAGTTAGTCTTTTAATTAGAAACACATAATTGTTAAAGATGTTTCATCATATTTAGTAATAGTAGTTCGGTGATAAAAACAAATATTTGGTTATGTGACTGTGTTGATGGAGAGAGGGGGCTGGATGTTTGTATAACGCTAAAACGCTAAAAGATAGGGAAGAATAAACTTATTTTTTAATTAAATAGTAAAATTTCTAAACAATTTAAAAGGAAAGTAAATTGTATTATTAAATTTGTTAATAGACTTGACGTACATTGTTGCCTTACATTGGTATATATTTTAGTTAGTAAAATAAACTATACAATTTTTAATAAGTTAATAAACCACATTAAACCATTATAACTGAAAATCACTGGAAAATGTTTACTTATAACTCTCCTAAGTATCAACTAAATTCAATTTCTTGCCAGAAACCACCATCAAAATTGAAAATTGAAGCATTTTTACTGCCTCATAAGATTATGATATCTACACAAAAAAAAAACTGTTTTTTTTTTTTTTAGTGTTTAATAAGTACTATGTCTTTTATCTATTATAAATATCATATATTCATGTTTATATAATTATATTAAAATATTTATGAAGTGATTAAATTTGAATTTGGTAAATAAAACAATAAGTACAAGTTAACTTAAATTTAGTTAAACACAAAAATAAATAAAAATATTTAATGGTTAGGCAGTTTAGTTATTCTTAAATTAAATAAAAATTTCATAGTATAAAATGCCATTTTTATTAAACTATCTATTAAAACAAAAATATATATTTGAAGTTCTTATTACAGTTTATTATTAGTTTTTAAATATTAACTGTTACTAGTATAATCAGTTTCAATGTTATAGCTAGAAATAAAAGTAACAAATAAAAACACGCAATTTTCAAAACCAAAGTATGTCAATAAATTAGTTTAGTAATTAAGAATTGAAAATTTTAAATAGATTTAAAATAAAAATTGTAATATGATATTTAAATTTTTAATTAACTATCATATAGCTAATTTTAATAATTATTGTAGTTAAAACATATTTTATAAGTAATTAATAAAAGTAAATAACAAAATAATAAGTAGGTACTTATTAAAATTAGAACTAACTAAAAGAAATTGTAAATTAGTAGGAAAGTTAACTTAAAGAGTTAGAAACGATTTTTAAGGATAAAATAAGATTTATTTTAACAATATAATTTAAACGACAGTGCTTATTATTATTAAAATAAAATATACTGTACGAAAGATTTAAAAACCGTTAATTTTAAATTATATTTAACCTATTTTCATGTTTATCTAGCGTTAAAATGTAATGACTATTATTATATTTTTAATATATTTTTTTTAAACTGTATTTATATTTAAAAACAGAAAGGCATCTTTATCATTTAGCACTCTTTAAAATCAGTTATAATATGAAAATGAAGTTTTTACAATTTAAACGTTTTATATAACTTTTTTATGATGTAGAAACATTATAATTATTGTTTTTTTTCAAATATTTTTAGTTTATTACTTCTGAGTTTTGACTATTAATATTTTTTAAACATCTTAAAAATTATATTTGTAGTTATTCAATGTTTTTTTTTTTCATATGATTAATTGTATATTATAAATTATAATATATACCTACATAAAATATTGATCTTAAAAATGTTATTTAGATTATATTACAGTATAATGTAGGTATAGGTAATTTTATTTTATGCAATATTTATTACCTATATTGGTAATATTAGTGTAATATTTTCACTAATGACTTAATATTTACTGTACTAAGTAAATATATTTGAATAAATTGTTCAAGATTTATATTCTTACTTAATTTTTTTTTTATTGTATTTTGATAATTATTACATAATATAATACGTATTTATTTTTACAATTATATATTAATTTTTATTATAATGCACTGATTAAAAACTGATATTTACTAATATATTATACATATTATTCAGAAATCAATGAGAATAGCATTATAAATAATAATATAAGAAAATATTCAGTATTCAAAATGTATAAAATAACTTACAAATCTTAAAATGTTATTCAAGTAATTCATTAAGAAATAGATTTTTTACTGTAGTTTATTAAATATTTAAAAGTATCACAGCGTTAAAATCACTAAGTCACTGAATTAAAGT